TTAAAAGGAAGGTCATGAGTTCTAGACGGCATAGGAAATTTCTGATGTTCAGAGGATGTTCGTAATACCATGAATCGCTTGAGGGGTGTGCGTGTTAGGAGACGCATTGTGTTTTGACTTGCAGATGCTTGACTAGTATTATACTAATCGCCTGGTTGTCGGTTGCTGAGATTCAGGTTTTTTTACGTAGCGCAGAAGATTTATGTGGGTATGTTTTGTGAGATTATTGTACATGCGTGATGTGTCAATTATTGAGTGGTGGAGTTGGGATCGGATATGGAGATTCCTGTATTTTTAAGGTTTAGAGACCGGATGTTCTCAGAGGAAGACTATTCCTTAGTTGTGGACTGTAAGGATATGCTAAGAGTTAGACAACTGATGGTGAGACTATCTGGCTTTTCAGACATCTAAAGTGATTTTGTTTAGGCCTTGTGGTGAGATTCGAGCGAGATGGTTCTTGGGGTGTTGAATTATTTATTGTGCTATGGTTATTGTTTTCCTATCTGTGGTGTATTGTGCTATCCATTTCTCTATGGTTATTCTCATGCGTTACGCGTGTCTATTGTTGGGTAACATGTGGTTGTTGATTGTGAGCATTATGGCTTGATTAGTTTTTCACGTGGATAGGTATGTTTGGATCGGGTCGCTCACTGCAACGGAGTTATGTTGAAATATGATCTTTAGTGCTTATTTCGTGTGTTTTGTTTCTCCTCTGTGAGATAGGTTCATAGCATTGTGCGTTGTGCTGGTATCTGTTGAGCTTGCGGGATGGTTCTCTCATTTGGTTCTCCTTCCATCATTGGTTGCATTCGAGTTGTTGCTTGTTTGGTGCACATATTGAATTGTATGTGTCTCTAGGTTTCATTGTCATGGCCATTCAGTTGAGTAGCTTGCAGTGGGTGAAATCAAATTCTTAGACCTAGAATGATTGATATTGAATTTGATTAAGCTATGTTTGGAAGAATAATATCAGAAGTCACCATAGAATGTGGTCATGATTCTTGACGGGCGAGAAAGCCTCATGACTTGTTGATCTGATGAGTGGTTATGAGTTTATACATGTTTCTTTCATCCTTGGTAGTGTACGAAGGTTTGGTAACAAGGTTTTATTTGATATGAGGTTTGTTACTGGTACAGGGTTTAGCAATGAGCAGCTATTATGGTCAGAAGATATTACTATGAGTATGTTGGTTATGTGGTATATCGCGTGATTGTATCTTGGAATATGATTATGGATTGATGCAGCTTGTTTATACTTATACAGTTTATAGATGCGAGATTCATGTCTTATAATGAATTTTGGGTGTTGGAGATTGGATTCTAAAGTTTATGGACTAAGGTTGAAGAAATGATCTTCAGCTAGGTTGGGTTGACGGGCCTATATGGATTGCGGTGATGTGTGATCACCCATGGGTATGTGTATGGTGAGTCTATACAATGATTTGATGGCTTTAGGATGACTCTTTGTACGTTTGAGAATAAACACATGTTTAAGTGGGGGAGAATATAACGACCCGACCAGTTGTTTTGAGCATTAGCATTCCATTTGGTAGTTTAGAGTCTTGAGTAGATTCGTATGATGTATTACGACTTGTGTGTATGGTTGATTTCAATGTTAAAAAGGGTCGATATTGATTTGGAAAAGATATTTCTATTTTTGGAGGCTTAAAGTTAAAGAGTTACCAATGTTTGACATTTGTGTAAAACGGTCTCAAATTCGCATTTTGATAGTTCTAATAAGTTCGTATGGTAATTTTGGACTTAGGCGTGAGTCCAGATTTGGATTTTGAGGTTCCTAGGTTGATTTGACTCTTTTTGGCGAAAGTTGCCAGTTTGAAGGTTTAGAAATTTTCTAAGTTTGATTGATATTTGACTTTGTGGTTATCGGGTTCGAATTTTTCTTCCGAGACTTGGAATAGGTCCGTTTGTCATTTAGAACTTGTGTGCAAAGTTTGGTGTCATTCCAAGTTGGTTTGATGGGAATTATATGCTTGGTTGTGATTTTGGAAGTTCTTGAGTTTCATTGTGATTTTGATGCATTTTGGTATTCAATTCATGGTTTTATATGTTATTTTGATGATCCGAGAATGCGAGCAAGTTTGTATGATGTTTATGTACTTGTTGGTATGATTAAGCGGGGTCCCGGGGGCTTCGGGTGTGATTCAGGGTGGTTTCAGATCGTTTCTGATGGTTTTTCTACTGTTGATATGCTGGTGTTCTAATAAGCTTCGCCATCGCAGACTGTACATTGTGAGCGCGTAGAGTAGTCTACGAAGTTGTTCACTTAGTTTGCATAACATGGATCACGTTCGAGTGGAGGGAGATAGGTTCGCGCAGATCGAGTGGAGCTTGGGTCCTTGTTGGTCGAGTTCACGGGGTTCTGTCGTGTTCATGTAGCTTTTGGCTACTGGGTCTTCGCGCTCGCGTCTGTAGCATCGCATTCGGGATGTAGGGCTGTTGGGCAGATCGCGTTTGTGCTTCGTGATCGCGTACTAGATGGTCGCGATCACATAGTGTTTCACCTAGCAGATATTTTAAGTGTTCTATTTCGAGCGTTTGGGTCATTTTATCACATTTTGAGATTGGGAGCTTGGATTTGGGTAGTTTTTGAGAGAACTTTCACCACTTGGATTGGGGTAAGTGTTCTTGACTCGGATTTGATTATTATTCATAATTCCATCCTTGATGTTAGCATTTGATTGATGAATCTAAGTGAGGAAAATTGGGGGTTTTGGCAAAATTATTTAAAGTGAATAATTGAGATTTGAACATCGATTCGAAGTTTGTTATGAGTGAAACTTGTATGGTTGGACTCGTACTCGAAAGGGTTGTCATAATTTGTGAGCTTTGACGAGTTCTAGGGTGCGGGCCAGGTTGACTTTGAGTGTTTGATAAAAGATTCAACCTTTATCGTTTAGGTTTGATCCTAAGGCATTATTTGATGATGTTGAGTTATTTTTGGCTAGATTCGAGCCGTTCGGAGGTTGATTCATATGGGAACACATTTTTAGAGTATTGTTTTATCTTGTTTGAGGTAGTTTCTTTCCTAGTTTTGGTTAAGGAAACTTTTTCTACAAATTGATATTGTTTGCTATGTGCGGGGGTGATATATATATGAGGTGACGAGTGTATATGCATGAGCCATGGGTATTCATGCTCGGGGTAGATTCTAGCTTACTCTATGCTCTATTTGATTGTGTGTTCTACTTGATTCTATGTATTGTTCCATTAATTGACTACGTGAGCACAATAAACCATGATGGGGAATGTTGAGGCTATTGGTACCTTATGTTGAACATGATGAGCAAATCTTGAGGCTTATGTTATGAACACACCTCCGGACTCATTCATGTAATGTGGATTAATAAGGACGTGTGCACTCTGTGATACATACGTGATCCTTTGTATGACTACTTGAACTTGGTTGCTATAATTGAATTAGCTGTAATCATGTCTTATCTACACTTTTATGCTATTGACATGTCCTTCTGCACTTTATTGATAAGTTGTGAGCTTATATCTTGATGAAATTTTGGTATTATTGTTTTGTGATATTGTGGCACATGTGGACATGTTATGTGGACTAATTGTTGTTGTGCAGGGTATACGGGTGGCATTTCACTATTGTTGTGTGGAGTGATATGGGTGGCTATTGTGATTTGTCAGGACATAGTGATACGGGTGGCTATTGTGATATTGTTAGGGCAGAGCAATACGAGTGGCTATTGTGGTTTACCAGAGCGGAGTGATTTGGGTGGCTATTGTGATATTGTCAGGGCGGAGCGATATGGGTGGCTATTGTGATATTGTCAGGGCGGAATAGTACGGTTGGCTATTGTTATTTTTCACGGCAGAGCGATACGTGTGGCTATTGTGATATTATCAGGGCAGAGTGATACAGGTGGCTATTGTGCATTTTGTGTGGGCACAAGATGCCATATGTTTTTATTTCTATTTGATTACTTGTTATCTAAACTATGTGTTGTCTTGATTTTTGCAAGTGAATTCTTTACGAGTTGTCGTGCATTTTAAATGTGTTACGCTGCACCTAACATGTTAATATATGCCTCTGGATTATTTGACTATTTGGTCGCCAAGATGAGATTACTTGAGTTGAGTTGGCATCTCATGCTTTCTCATGCTTTGTTGAAATGTTGGTAGCGTAACGGATTGATGTAAAAATAATGTTGTCATCATGCATTGATATATTTGATTCTAGAAAGATTCTCGTGTACGTGTTATTTGGTAACTGATATGGAATCAGATTACGTTGGGCACCCTTACTGTCGATACTCTATATTTTGTAAATGTCTTTCGGGAATATTTTGTCTGTGTAATTTTTTTGGTAATTAAAATTTTATTACCACTTGAAAATATTTACATGTATAAACAAAACTCCTAAGTTTGGACAGAAGGCCCCAAACTCAGTACAAAGCTAACTTAGTCTACCTATATCTTCATTCATGCTATGGGTAAAAATTTAAGTATTGCATTTCTTTTCTCATTCATATCTGCATATAGCCTCTACAATGTACTTCTTGAATTACTTGTCTTGTGATGTCTCCACTACTTCTCCTCTCTTGTTGAAAGATTATGCAATTACTTTCTATCCACATATGATACACTGCTCCTGCCGTACTAATTCTATAAACCTCAGCTTTTGATCCCTTACCACTTACATGTTTTGTGGCCCACTCAACTTCTTCCTCCCAACCATATACTTGCCTTGCGATCCCCTGCCATGCTAGTAATTTCCCCCATATGTCTGTTGAGTATTTACAAGTAAAGAAGAGATGTTGATGATCCTCCATCTCCTGATCACACAAGGGACATGTTTGGTTAACTTGTATCCCCCATTTACTTAATCTGTCTTTGGTATATAATCTTTCCTGAAGTGCTAGGTAGAATATGAATATCCATTTCGGGCAGCCTTTGTTATTACAGATCAATCTTCTCCAGCTTGCTTTTGGGAACTCCCCTCGCAATTGGTTATAGATGGTTCAGATGGTGTATGTTCCTGCTGTTAGAACCTTTTCTTTCTCCAAACCAGCCTCATCCAGATACTTTGCAGCATGTAATATCTTATGTACTATCCATGAGGCTTGCTTCGCTTCCACTGTCCAAGGAACCCTCCCTTTTATATAGTATGCATGCACCCATTGTATCCACAATTTATCCTTCTTTTTGCATACATTCCATAAGTGTTTCAGCAAGGCATCTTTGCTCCACACACTCATATCAGTGATTTTGAGTCCCCCTGTTGATTTTGGTCTGCACCATTTGTCCCACGCAACCAGAGATTTCTTACTTGCATTTGTATCCTCTATCCAAAGAAACTTCCTACATATGGATTCAACAGCTTGAATGACTTTCTTTGGTAAAGGAAAGATTGCGACCAAAAGGATTGTATAGCAATCAATACACTCTTTATCAATTGTAATCTCCCTGCATAGCTCAAAAACTTCACAGTCCACTGTTTCACTCTCCCCAGCATTTTATCCAACAGAGTCTGACATTGACTAACTGATAGTCTTTTTGAACTCAAAGGCACTCCAAGGTATCGAAAGGGAAGTTCACCTATTGTAAAACCAATTTTCTGGATGATCTCTTGTTGTACATCTACTGATACTCCACCAAAGTACACACAACTTTTGTTTTGGTTTGCAACAAGTCCTAAAGCTTTTGAGAAATTCTGGAAGCATTCATACAATAGTTGTATAGATATCACATCTCTTTGACAGAATAAGAGCAGATCATCTGCAAAACTAAGCTAAATGATACTCAATTTTGTACACCTAGGGTGATAGTTAAAATCTGGCTGCTCTTCCAGTTTTTTCAGTACCCTTGTCAAGTATTCCATTGCTAAAACAAAAAGTAGTGGAGACATTGGGTCACCTTGTCTCACTCCTCTCTTAGCTGCAAATGGTACAGTTGGACTTCCATTGATAGTTATGGAGTATGACACTGTTCTAATGCACTCCATGATCCACCCTATAAACTCTTTAGGGAAGCATAAGCCTATAAGTACTTGTTACAGGAATACCCACTCAAGGGAGTCATATGCTTTCTGCATGTCGATCTTGATCATACATCTAGGCGAGATCCCTTTCCTACCATAACCCTTTACCAACTCATGGCTGAGTAGGATGTTATCTGTCAAAACTCTGCCGGGGACAAAAGTTGCTTGGCTATCATCTACGAAAGTATCCATCACTTGCATCAATCTACTTGTTAATATCTTGGAAATAATCTTGTATAGTATGGTACAACAGGAGATTGGCCTGTATTCCCTGATCGAAGCTGGATTCTTAACTTTGGGGATTAAAGTAACTGTTGTAGTGTTTATTGGCTTATACATCTTTCTTTTACTAAAGAAGTCCAGTACTGCTTTTACGATCTCTTCACCAGTGATATGCCATACTTTTTTTAAGAAATATGAATTGAAACCATCCCATCCAAGTGCTTTCATGTCATCAATCCCTTTCAGTGCTTGAATTATATCCTCTTTTGTAGGAGTAACAAGTTGTAGCTGCTGGCTTCTAGTAAGAACTGTTCCATTCTTTATCCACCCAGGGTGAATAGCAGGTACACTTTGACTTGCATTCCTTAGTAGCTATTTGTAAAATCTAATTACTTCATATTCAATACTTTTTGGATTTGTAAGCACATTTCTATTACTATCTGTGAGCTTAGTTATCTGATTTGTAAGCACATTTCTATTCTCCCCTTCATGCTAGCAAAGAAATATGCACTATTTGTATCCCCCAATTGCTGCCATTGTACTCTAGATTTCTGTTTATAAATTGATTCTTCAATCTTATCCCATTTCTCAAGTTGCAACAAGAGGTTCTTTTCCTCTTCAAACATACTGTTTGGAGTATTGGAATTCCTCATTCTCCCTTGTGTATCTTTTAACTTCTCTTTGATGGAGCTAATCTTCTCGGTTATATTCATAAATTCCTTCCTATTCAAATTCTTCAAAGCTGATTTTACAGTTTTCAAATTCTGCCATATAGCTGCCATATTTCCTTCATGTAAAGACCAGTTAGCCTCTACTATCTTTCCAAAATCAGGATGATCTGCCATACAATTGTAGAATTTAAAAGGCCTCTTCTTTTTATCACAGTTTCCCTCAACCTCTATACCCATTGGAGAATGATCACAGAACAATAAGTCCATCACATGAACTTATAGAGGAGGCATAGTAATCATTCAGTGGTCATTCACAATTGCCCTATCTATTCTACTCAAAACATGACTATTTGTCCATGTATATGATTTACCAACAATTGGTAATTCTATCAAACTACAATCTTACATCAAAGCTCTGAAGTCCTTAGTTTCATGATCCTGCACTTCTCTGCCATGAACTCTATCTTCAGCCCCTAAAACTGCATTGAAATCCTCCATTATCAACCAAGGTCCCATAATTTGGCCCTCCATGTCCCTAAGCATATCCCATAAAGGTTTTCTATCTTGAACAGTATGCAGTCCATAGACTGCTGAGAAGTGAAACTCTTTGCTGCTGTGATGAACTTTAACATGTCCATGGATAATCTGAGCAGACCTCTCTATGACTATAAAACTTATAACATTTGGATTCTAAAATACCCATATCCTACCTTTGTATGAAGTTGACACATTATGACACCAATTCCACCCAAGCATAATTTTCGCTATAATTTGAGCAGCTTTTGTATCATGAACACGATGCTCACTTATTGAAATCATAGTCACCTTATTTTCCTTAAAAACACCCTTAACTCCTTGGGCTTAAACACCTTATTAAAACCCCTTACATTCCATGTCACTATCATTCTGATACTTTGGAATGATTTTGTGGTAACACCTTTGTCTCAACCCCTCTACTTGAACTACATTCTGCCATTTCAGTTCCTTTGAAGCTTTGTTCTTGACCTGCTTCAACTAAAGTATTAACTCCAGTATATATATTGCCCAGATGTTGGTATTTTTTGCCCTTTTGCTGCTGATTTACTCTTCACTTGTTGCCATACATCCCCACCTTCTATCATTTGATTTTGTATACTTTGGTTCTCAGCATTCTTGTCTGGCATCTCCCTTTGAGCTAGGTTCTGTAATTTACCTTCAACATTAATAGGCTTCCATTCTGTCCTCTGTTTTGGGGCTTTCATGTGCTGTTGTTGGCCTATCTTATTCTCCACCATTGCTGCTTGGGGCTGTTATTTTTGGCAATTATGACCAATTTTCATACACCTTGCACAATATGTGGGTCTCCAGTCATACCATATTTCATGCTCAATCATTATTCCTTTTGGATCTTTTATTTTGATGACATTTGGAAGCTCCCTGGTTACATCAATCTCTACAAGAATTCGTGCATATGAAATCCTATTTGCATTTGACGTACATGCATCAGCATATATGGGTTGACCCAAACCACTCCCAATTTTACTTAATGAATTTGCACTCCAACAACTTAATGGGAGATTAGGCAGTTTTACCCATATTGGAATTGTCTTCAAGTCTTCAGCATCAAAATTGAAATCTACAGTCCAAGCCTTTGATAATGACTGGTCGATTGCTCAACATATGAGGTCCTGAGTACATCACCAAATTCCTCTCTTCAAAACATGAAATATTAATCACAACATACCCAGCACTGTGATAATATACTTTTGGTTTTGCTGTGAACTCCCCTTGTGCTGCTACGAACCTCTCCATAGCCCCAATTATAGGTGAGCCACCAACAACATAGGCTATTGTGGCATATTTCCATTTGTCAATTTCACTGTCAATATCCTCTTGTACCAATTCCACAGTCGTCTCTCCCTCAACAATTGCAGGAGGTATAAAAATCTGATCAATAACTCTTGCTGCCATTTTATTCTCCTCAAATAGCGTCGACCATGCCTTTTCTCCTGGTTGTCCTAGTTCCAGTTGTAGCTTACGTTGTGCTCTCAATGTGAGTTACTGTTTCATTGGCTTTGTCACTTTGAGCTAGCTTCAATTGTGGATCTATCCCTTTAATCTGCATCTGCCCTGTTTCCTTTGAGCTCAGATCAGTCTGCATGTGTACCAGAGTTATCCACATAGGTGCTGGGGTTCTGGTACCTTCACTTCGCGAATGAAGGGTTGGCCAAATCTACGAATTATTTGTTGCATGTTCCTTTCCCTTCGTGCATGCTGCTTCCTCAGTCACTTTCCTTGGGTTAGTGATGGAATTGCTCCCACTTACCCTATATTTGTCGATAAACTAGCAATATTGCCTCCAATCGCTAGGGTTTTTGGTGTTACCATACGTAGTGCTTCTGATTTCTTTCCCTCCATAAAATAGTTTTCTTCCTCTATCAATTGTTTTGTAGCTTTTGACGGTCGACCTCGTGCCCTCCCCGTTTCCGGTGAGCGCAAGTTAGCATTTCACGCTAAATATGCGCCGAGAGAGAAAGGAAGGGTTTCACTTAAAAATTATGTTTAAGTGTTATACATGTTATTAAGTTGCACAGGTTCTGCAAAATGAGTTTCTTGTGACTTAAAACCTCATCACTACTTCTCTAAGGTTAGTCAAAATACTTATTTTGTACATGGGGTCGGTTGTACTCATGCTACACTTCTGCACCTTGCGTGCAGATTTTGGAGCTGAGTAGATGTGAAGACGGAGCTTTATTCGAGACGTACCGGCGTATTGGATTCATGCTACCTTTTGTTCATGGTAGCTTAGGATTTCATTTCTGTTTATGTAACTTTCAAAGAGATATTGTATTTATTTCTCACATCAGTTTTGTAAATCTAAATCATAGTGGCTCATGACTTGTATTACCAGTCCTTGGGGTAGTTGTATTAAATTATTTTATAGTATTATTTATAAAATTGATGATTCTCCTTGTAGTAGTAGCTTATATAGTTTGGCTTACCTAGCGGGTTAGGTTAGGTGCCATCATGATATTTGGTGGGACTTTGGGTCATGACACTGATTCTCATCAAGCTGTGTTGTGTTGAAGTCCAATTTATGCTACTTGTCTTCATGATACTTTCAGAGCATAGAAACATGAATACCAGATAAACACCCAAAAGACTAGGAGGCAAAGCGATCCTATAGGCAACCTCCCCAACTCTCTTTAATACCTCAAAAGAGCTAATAAACCTCGGGTTCAACTTTCCTTTCCTCCGAAATCTCATCACACCTTTCATGGGCGAAACTTACAAAAGTATCTTATCGCCCTTCGTATAAGACACATCACGGACCTTCTTATCCGCATAACTCTTCTTCCTTATCTACTATTCAAAGATGATCCTAAATTAGCTCACCGTGTCCAAGGCATCACAAACCAAATCCATACCCAACATCTTAGCATCACCAGGCTGAACCAACCAATAGGAGAATGGCACCGCCTACCATGTATGGTCTCATACCGCGCCATCTGAATGCTGGACTAATAGTTGTTGTTGTAGGCAAACTTCGCCAATGATAGAAACTAATCCTAATGGCCTCCAAAATCAATTACACAATGCCGCAATATATCCTCAATGATCTGAATAGTCCACTTGGACTGGCTATCCGTCTGCATGTGAAATGTAGTGCTGAGCTCTATGTACGTGCCCAACTCTCGCTGGATAACTCTCCAGAAGTGCAATGTGTATGAAGTGTTATAGTCTGAAATGATAGGAATAGGCACACCGTTCAAATGAATAGTCTATCTAATATAGATATGAGATATTCTCTCTGAAGTATAAGAAGTCAATACTGAAATGAAATACATAGATTTGGTCAAACTGCCCACAACAACCTAAATGGCATCAAACTTCTTCGAAGTCCGTGGTAATCCTACCATGAAATCATAAAAATTATGTATCACTTCCACTCTGGTATAATCAATATCTAAGACAAATCACCTAGTTTCTGATGTTCATATTTTACCTGCTAGCAATTGAAACACCGTGAAACATACCCGACAATGTCTTTCTTCATATTCCGCTACCAGTAATGCTGCTTCAAGTCACGAT